GCTCCGGGGGCTCCGTCCCTCTCCTGGAGGTCTCAGGCTGAGGGGCCGGGGCCTTCTGTGGCTCCGCATTAGGAACACCACCCGCAGCCGCATGCGTCCCACCGTCAGGCGTGGTGGGCAGTGCCGGCTTGGCTTGGTGCGGGCTGTGACAGCATCACGGCCACCAGGCCATAGATGGGGGGCACAGGTTCCTCTCGACGCTCTTTGTTTGCACATTACTTGGTTCCTCTGAGCACTCTGGGGGTTATTTCCAGATCAAGACTTCCCCTGCCTATCGGGACTTTGTCTTGGACCCCACAGCCTGGAACAGAGCTCCCGGCTCCTTCTCCCCCCCAAGGAGAGGAGCTCAGACCGCAGGCGGCTCTGTGGGCCACCGGGCTTCTTGCTGCTCAGCCTGACGCCAGCACTGGGTGCCACTGGTCCTGAGAAGGCTGGTCCAGCAGCCGGGCAAGCTGGGAGCCCCAGTAGCCTCTCCTCTACCAGAATGACAGCTTGGTGGGTGCAGAGATGATTCCTGGCATATCATGGACATTTAGATTCCAGAGCCCCCCTATTTTTGCTTCACCTTCTGCTTCTCTGACCCTCAGTTTCCCTCCTGCTCCCTGCACAGGACGTCTTTCAACTTCTGTCTCGTCTCATCTATGCCTCCTGTCCCAGCCGTCAACCATTAAAGGCAGCTTTTGTTATTGCTGCCTCTCTCTCTCATGCATCCCATCCAACTCACTCCTTACTGTCCAGCACAATGAGTGGTTCATTCATTCATTCAACAAACATTTTCCGCAGGTACTCTGTGGGGTATGGCACACGGTAGGCCTACAAAGGTCGCTCAGCAGAGTGAGAGCTCAGTAATATTGATTTCTTAGAAATCATTTATTCTTTAGCAACCTCTTGCTGGCTGTCTACCACCAACCTTGTCCTGTGCTAAACCCTGGACTGCGAAGTCCCAACCCTTAAGGAATTGACATTCCACAGGAGGAGATGAACATTCAGGGTCTTATTTTATATCAGTCAAAAACACAGGCAGTAATTGGCGGGGGGTGCTGAGCAAAGGATGGAGGAGTTGGTATGGTTGTTGAAGTCTGGGAGGGTTTCCTGGAGGAGCTGGCACTCGACTGGATATTGGAGGTGAGCTGGAAAGAAGGGACATTCCAGGCAGCTAGCTGGAGGTGGGGCCGGCGGGGACCAAGGAGGTCTGCAGTATCCTTTGGGCAAGAGTAACAGCAGAATGGTGGGAAACATACTTTGCTTTCTTGTTGAGAAGGGCACTGCAGGGCACCTGGATCCAGCCAGCTCCCTAGACTCCAACCATGCTGAATCTCTACCCAGCCCTTCAGGACCACCTAGCAGGAGACCCTGGGGTGCAGCACCAGAGCCCATCCCCACTCCAACACCCCCACACAGGCTCGTGAGCCTCAGGAGCAGCCACAGAAGGCTTTTTCCTCTCTTCCTTGAGGAGCCAGAAGCATCAGTTTTCAGAATTTCCTCCAGCTCTAAGCATTTCCAGTTAGCTGGAACCCAGAGAGGTCCCCATCTCCTCCCCTCGTCTCCCTGCTCCAGATACTATGGGGAAGATCCCAGTGGACTATGGTGGGAGGGAGCCGCCCCCAGGTGGAGGCCACGCCCCCCGGTGCTCTGGCCCCAAATGGCAGGCCTCTGTCCTTTGCAAGTGAGACCAGAACTGAGCCACCTGAGGTCACAGACAGATCTCGGTGGAGATGGGCCAGTACTGACCTCCCAAGCCTCGGGCTGTCCCCCACAACTCACTTGGTCTCAGTGGGTGGGCAGGAAATGGGGTAAACTGGATTCTTGCTTCTCCCCATGAAGACCAGACATCCTGCCACCGCCCCACAGGCGAAGCCTGGAACCAGCTCAGCACTGTGGGGCATCTCTCGGCAGTGGCACCCTTGTTTCCTCATCCCCACGGGCCCTGCTTCTGCCCCCAGGATGAGCACAGCGCGGGACGATGAGACCCACCCCCTCCCCACACCCCCCGATTCCTCCTGCCCCTGCTCTCTCCCTGAGGAAAGGCTCAAGACCAGGGATACCAGAGACCCCCACCTGGGCACTGACGGGCACCTCTCCAGCCTGTTTCCCTGCAGTTACTGGACTGGTGCTGGCCATCTCGTTTCTGTGACGCGGCGCTGCCCCGTGCAGCCCGGCCCCTGCTGCCGCGCAGGGCGACCCTGGTGCCGGGCCGGGTGCCAGAGGATATCAGTGTCCGTGGGGTCATGGGATGGTGCCTGGGGGGCAGGGTTGGGGCTGAAGAGGCAGGCGTTGCCCCCTCCCCCAGTCTGATCTCCGGGAAGTTGCATAACAGAGATATTTATTTTTGGTGAGGCTGGGTGGGATTTCTTCTCTTAAAAAAAAAAAAAAAACCAAAACATAAAACTTATTTGTCTGCCAGGAAGATAAATATCTTTGCTGAAAGCTCTTGGCCCAGCTGCCAGCTGCAGCTTGCAAAAGCTGTCACTGAGGCGGTGGTGGCGGCCTGCGTGTGCCTGGCAAGCCCACCACCCCATGGCGTTGGCACTGCCTGTAGCCCCAGGAGTGACCTCCCGAAGCTGCTCCAGGCCCACTTCTGCCACCTCCATCCTGTCCTCAGTGCCTGGGAGAGGGAGGTGGGAACAACAGAGGCAAAATGTCCCTTTCAGCATCCCCACAGCCACCCCAGGGATGGCAGCAAACCTGACGCACCTGGATGGAGTCGGAGACCTCATAGGTCCTGAGAAGAGGAAGCCAAGGGTTGGAGTGGTTGGCGCTCACCTGCACCGCACACGTGTGCAGTGGTCAGCTCTTGGGCACATGGAAGTTTCTGTCACATGCCCCGCGCACATGTTCATCTGCCATGTCACCTGATGACGCGGCTTCTTTCCCCCAAGTCACAGACAAGGAGCTGAGGCTCAGGGTGGGACTCACACCTCCCTCCAGACTCCAGGCCAGCACCCTCCCCACAGCACCAGGCTTGCTCCTACTCTTAGGCCCCAGGTCAGCCCGCCCGCCCAGAGGACCTCTCCCGGGTCCCGGGCCCCCGATGCCCATGGACCAGGACTAATCATGTGGGCAGAAGTGTACACGGCCCTGCGGTGTTGAGTGCTCTCCTTGTTGCCCCTTTAATTCCTGTCGCTATCCTCAGAGGACCTACAGGTTACAGAGAGGGGGAAACTGAGGCCCAACAAGGTGAAGCGAGCTGTCCAAGGCACACAGCTGGAGAGCCATGCCTGTGGGTTCCCCATCCTGGCATCAGCTCCACAGCCAGCTCCAACCTCTGCCCTAGGGCGAGGGTGTCGGCCTGCACTGGAGCTGAGCCCTGACTTGGACAGCTACTCTAGGCCGCACTCACCTCCCTGGCCTCCGCCTCCTCGACCTTCACCTAGATAGGTTGACTGGCCAGTCCCAGCTCTGAGCACCTAGGAATCAGCCAGCGGAGCCCCATTCTGCCAGGGGTGACAAGCTTGTGTGCATCTACACATGATAGCATCTTGGGGTTCAGGTGCTCCCCACTTCCATAGTATACACAGCCCTCCTTGCCCTGAGGGGACAAGATACTGTTGGAACAATAGCTGAGGCCCAGGTACGTGACCCCTCACATTGGATTCTTGGGGCAGTCTCCCAGCTTCTGCTGAACCCCAAACTGGACCAGACCAGGAAAGGAGGGGCAGTCTTTCCTGCCTTGGTGCCGGCCTCTCCTCATCGCCCCAGGCACATTTGGCCCGACACAGCTGCTGGATGAGTTTCCCCTTCCACTCTGGGAGTCTGAGGCACTTGGCCAGAGTCTTCAATACTCAAAGAAGTTCTGGCACCAGGGGCTCTGCTAGAGGGAGGAGTCCTGGGTCAGTGGGCGGGGATAAAGGTCATAGGGGTCAGATTGGACCTAGAATAACATAACATTGGTGTTGAAATTCTACCACACGATCCAGCAATTCTACTTCGAGGCGTGTATTCGAAGAACACTCGCAGGGAGGTCGCTTGTGCTCTTACGCCCCTCACAGCACGGTGCACAGTAGCCGAGGCCCGGGGCCACCCAAGTGCCCAACGACAGATGGGTGAATTGAGAAGAGGTGGTGCATATACACAGTGGAATACTACACAGCTGTAAAAAGAGATGAAATCCTGCCATTTGCAACAACATGGATGGATCTGGAGGAGTTGATGCGAAGTAAAATAAGTCAGAAGGAGAAAGACAAATACCAATGATTTCACTCATATGGAGAAACTAAAACAAAGGAACCAACAAAACCAAACCAGAACAAACCCTAGAAATCCAACTGCAGAATGGAGGCTACCGAAGGGACCTGGGGGTGGGGAGGGAGGCAGGAGGGATCCCTTAGACTATGGTGGGGGATTATGGATGCTTTGGTGGTGGGTGTGGCCTGGTGACATACACCTGAAGAGGTGTGAACCTGTATTTATTTATTTATTTATTTTTAAAAAAGATTTATTTATTTATGCATACAAGAGCTGGGGTACAGGCCAGAGATGTGGGGGGTGAAAGGATCCACCAGAGACTGAGTGGGGAACTGAACAGGCAGACTGACTGAAACACACTGCCGAGGGGAGCAGTGGGCGAGACAGGAGAGGTCTGCTGCACCATGTGGGTTTCTCCCTGGTAGGCCAGGGATCGAACTCGTGCTGCAGAGGCTGTGGAATGCTTCATAGTGCGGTGCTTAACCCCTTGCGCCACCAGGGAGGCCCTGAAGCTGTATTTAAACCAGTGCTACTACAATGTAAAATAACACACGTTTTAAAAAAGAAAACATTGGTGCTAAGAGGGGCCTATTCGGAGGTGATGACAAAGAGGCTCAGAGTGGGAAAGGGATTTGCCCAAGATCATACAGCACATTCTCGGCAAACCAGGATTAGAATCCGCCTCTCTGACCTTACATCCAGTGCACTTCTGAGAGGGGAGACGCAGGGGAGATGCAGGGGGCGCTCCCCCTGTCCCCTCTCCTCTCTTGCTTGATTCAGTCACTGGTCTCTAACCTTATGTCTTCCCCCTTCAGCCAAAGAGAGCTCCCTGGGTGAGCCGGAGTTGCCGCCCGACTCTGACACCGTGGGAATGGATAGCAGCTACCTCAGTGTGAAGGAGGCCGGGGTGAAGGCGCCCCAGGACCGGGCCAGCGCTGACCTCCCCAGCCCACTGGAGAAGGCCGACTCCGAGAGCAACAAGGGCAAGAAGCGACGGAACCGCACCACCTTCACTAGTTACCAGCTGGAGGAGCTGGAGAAGGTCTTCCAGAAGACCCACTACCCCGATGTGTATGCGCGGGAGCAGCTGGCCATGAGGACGGACCTCACCGAGGCCCGTGTGCAGGTCAGTGAGGGCTGCCTGAGACGGGCTGAGAGGGCAGGGCCTGGCCTTGAGCTCATGGCCCGAACTGGGAGCACCCAGCTGTGCTCGAGCACACAAGCGCTTTCTTCACATCTGTTTTCCAGTGAAGGTCTGAGAGGGTCCTGAAGCCCAGCCCTCACACGTCCACTTGAACCAGGGCAAATCTGCTTGGGGGAGGGTGAAAGGAAGAGGGTCTCTAGTAGAAAGACCTGCCAGTTGTATTTCTGGGTCCTTTTTTTTTTTAAAGATTTATTTATTTATGCATACAAGAACTGGGGTACAGGTCAGAGATGCGGAGGGTGAGAGGATCTGCCAGAGACAGAGCGGGGAGCAGAACAGGCAGATGGACCAAAGACACTGCTGAGGGGAGCAGTGGGCGAGTCAGGAGAAGTCTGCTGCGCCATGTAGGATGCTCCCTGACCAGCCAGGGGTCAAACTCATGCTGCAGTGGCTGCAGATAGCTTCATAGGTTGCATCTTAACCCCTTGTGCCACCAGGGAGGCCCCATTTCTGGGTCCTTTTATGAACTAGAAAGGTGACTGGTTTCTGTTCTAAAAGGTGTTTCTCTTAGATAAAGTTAAGATATCCACAGCAGTTGAATGGGTAAAAACAGAAAACAATCTAGTTTTTTTCTGTCCAAGATGGCTGCCTCTTCCTCCATCTTTAAGGTCCCAACTCAATGTACCTCCTCTGAGAAGTCGGTTGAGCGCTGGGTTGCGAAGCTGCCCGCGGACTCTGCGGCGCCGGTTCGATCCCCGGCTGCTCCCCGGCCACCGGAGGAGGATCCCACATGGCGCGCAGACCTCTCCTGCCACCCGCTGCTCCCCTCAGCAGTGTACTTCGGTCCTTCTGCCTGCTCTGCTCTCCGCTCTGGCTCTGGTGAATTCTCTCACCCTCCCACGCTTCTGACTGTACCCAGTGCATGTGTAAACAAAACAAACAAACAAACAAACAAACAAACAAATAAATAAATAAAATAAAACATGCCTCTATAAAAAAAAAAAAGAAGTCTTCCTGACGACCATAGCTGAAGCAGCAGCCCCATAACCATCACCCAACCGCCAAAACACACAACCTCGCAGAAACCTACACAACCCAACACAACAGAATCCAATACAGCTCAAAGCAGTCTACCATGACCCAACCCAACACAACAGAACCCAAACCAACACAACTCGCCTCAATTGATCACAGTTCAGCAGAACCAATACAGCACAACTCAACATAACCAACATAATAAGCCAACCCAAATCAACACAACACAACACAACACAACCAAACAAGGTGACCTGCTAGCACATTTTTCTCATTTTATCTTCTTCATAGAACTTGTGACTGGCTTACATTTTTGGTTTATTTCATCCCACTAGACTGTGAGTTCCTTGAGGGCAGGAACTGTCTGACTATCCATCCTTGTATTCCTACCTTCTAGAGAAGACCAAACTCAGAGCATCAAAGACAAAAAATAAATATTCTTGGATTATTGACCCTTCTTTTATAGAGGGGGCATGTCCCTTCTTACATGATGTTACAATTAAAAAAACCCAGAAAGGAATCAAAGATACCTGAGTACCTAAAACACAGATAACAGAATTCCTGCCCTGAATCTCAAGCTTCAGCTTAACACACAGTACTCATACTCAATCTGCTTTTCTAGGCCAAAGCGTGTTAGAAGTTGCAACTATGGTGTTGGCATATAGGAGGGGTTTCCTCCTCTAGTGGGCTAGGGAGATCAACAGCTTGACAATAAGAAAAAAAATTTTCTTTTTTATTTTAAATTTGAAAAACACCCTCCGTTCACATGGTCTAGCTCACTCACGGTGTCAGAGTCGGGCGGCAACTCCGGCTCACCCAGGGAGCTCTCTTTGGCTGAAGGGGGAAGACATAAGGTTAGAGTACTCAAGGGAACCCTTCCCAGGCCAGGAGAGACCCCTGCGTTACTCAACAGGCCTCCAAGGCACTCGATGTTGCATTCACTCTCTGAAGAATCTTCAGCAAAGCAGTTCTCAGGTGTCAGTAAGAGGCTTATCTGAGCCAGATTCTGTTTAATAAGGCAGAGACATTTGTAATACAGTCCAGAAACTTCTTCATCCAAAATGGCAAATATGAAGAAAGATCAAGTCATCAGTAAATAAGAAGCTGTCCTGCAACTGCAGGTAGTCAGGACGACTCTCACTGCCACTGAGCACAAACTTCAACCATGAGTTTCCTGGCAGCCAAGGCAGAAACCCTGATTTCTTGCATTGACAAGACATCATAGAATTGTAAAGCGTCAGTGCCGGATAATTTCCCCCGGTCCTCTCATTTGATAAGGAGAAGGAAGAGGCCTGGAGGTAGGACGGGGCCATCTGAGTGAACAGTGACTCGGTGGCAGCACTGAGACTAGAATCTGGGCCTCCAACTTCTTTTACTTTAGTTTGCTGTACCAGGACACATGCCAGATTGTTCTGAGACTTTTCTTTGTATAAAGCAGCAGGCTGGGTGGGATCTTCTTGTGCGTCAGACCTCAGAGTTGAGCCCTGAGCCTGGCAGTGCCCTGGGGGCGGAGGGGTAGAGGCAGTGGGGCTGGAACCTGCCTCGGGCCTCTGCTGTGCTGTGCTGTGCTGTTCAGGGCCATACTCAGCTGGTGGGAAGCCAGGTGCCTGGCGTACAGCGGTGGTGGGGACCAGGAGGGGTGATGAGGGCCCCCTAAGGAGGACCTTTCCTGGGAAGAAACTCGGGGTTTGGCCCCACTCCAGGGGGCTGCAGGGGCCTCTCTGTGCTGTCTGGGATTCCAATCTCCGCAGCTGGTGTCTGAAGACAATAAGACAGAGGCCTCCCCACCCTGGGCCACCCCGCCCTGGCCCCAGATGGGCTGCGGTTAGTGAGGCCTCCGCCAAGACGGTTGGTTCCTTGGGGAGAGGCCTGCGCTGAGTGGGCCCAAGCTGGGGTGGGCCCGGGAACGGGGTGGTCCTGGGGGAACCATGCAGAATGGAAGGCCAGGACCGTACTCTCCATTCTAGCACAGTCTGGTGGATGGAGATAGGCCTGGGGTCGAGAGCCCCGAGGCAAGGAGATTTGGAGGCGGCTCTCAGAGATTAGAGATGGAAGGACTAAGTCTCAGGAGCCAAGGATGTGAGCAGAGGGGGGCCCATGAGGAACACCCAGCTTCTGCCTGAGGAGACTGAACACCAATGAGGTTAAATGAGCTTTAGCCTGCGATCCTGGCAGAAGGCTCTGGCCACGCACAGTGTCAGACCCAGGGAGGAAGGAGCTGGCAGAGGAGGAGGGAGAAGAGGGCAGCTCTGCTCCCCCACAGCTGCCTCCCACAATCTGTATTCTCTAACCCCCAAATAAATCACTCAGCTGACCCTGGTCCGCTCCCTTTCCAAAGACGGTGCTATCTCTGCAGCCTCTCCCCCGCCAGCTCATCCACCTTCCCTTGATAACCTGGACTCCTCTCTCCCTGCCCCTGCCTCCCCCACACCCAGCCCCAGCCCCTCACATTCCATCTCTCCCTCCACTGGCCCCTTGCCTCGATTCTAGGATCACTGGCCACACTTTCCATCCCTCCCACTCCCTCACCCGTCAGAGCCTGCTTGGCACCTCCACCGGCTGCCACCCCCCAGGTCCCCACCACACGGACCCAGAGCCCCCAGGGACTCAAGGGAACCCCCACTCAGGGAGTGGAGGCAACTCACCTACTCCCCACCCTCAAAGAAAGAAAGAAGTCATATATCTTGATGCCTCTAGTAGGCTTCTCCCCCCACCCCCAGCGTCCCCCACAGAAAACCCTGGGAGGCTGAGGAAGCAGCGGGAAGACGGAGCTAAGCCTGCAGGAAATTAAACATGAAATGAAAACAAGCTCCTCTTATGCATCCTCTCTTCCTGCCCCCAGCCCCCCACTCCAGGCCACTGATAAAGGGGATTCCGTTTCAGCAGCACAGAGAGGAGACCTGATCTGCCCTTGGCTCCCAGTTGGGGGCCTGGGCCTGAACCCCTGGAGTCCCTGGAGCCCGGAGGGAGAGATGGGTGATTCTGAAAGAAACGGGGGGCTGCTGTGTGTGGCGTGTGTGCACGTGCACACACGTGCCTGTACACCTGGGACTAGGGAGGGAAAGAGGGTGTGGCCTGAGACACACACACCCAGTTTTTTTTTAATCTCATTCCTCTAGCAAGAGACACCGTGCAAGGCCAGAGCTATAAATAAACAAGTGTGGGAGCCTGGAAGCTCTGTGCCAGGGTTTCCCGCTCCCTTGCTGCCTGAGGAGGCTCCACCCTGAGAGGAGCGGGGTCAGACACTGGTCCCATTTTTGAGAAGTAGAAACTAAGACCATTGGCAATGCCAGGAGTCCCACTGGCACCCTGCTCCCTGGCCACACTAGAAACCTAAACAGGACGGGCAGCCCCAGTGCCCCTTGTGGGGAACCCACCTGCCTAGACCAACTTGGGTGCTGCCAGTCCAGAGGTGTTTCTGGAACTGCTGCAGCTCTAATCACAGTGGACATGGACTGTCATGTGCCTGAGGAAAGCAGGTTTCTCAAGACCTCAGCCTGCTCAGAGCCTAACAAGGCTCTTGGTCTCTGCAGCCAAGGCCCTTGTCCCTGCTCCGTGCTCCCATCCTCAAGGCTGCTGGCTGTGTGTTGTTTGGGGTGCCGGTTTGCCCCTGAGCCAGCAGCAGACACGCAGCAAGGTGACAGAGACGGCTCTCGAAGGAGGGTCAGTGTCGGCCTTTGCCTTAGCCTGAAACCTCTCCTGGCCCAGAAGCAGATGCCAACTCTCCTCCTCTCACACCCTCCCGTGGCCCAGTCCCACCTTCCTCCCCCAGCCTCAAGACATGGGCACGGGCAGCAGGCCAAGGCCAGCTCCTGCCCACAAGGCTCAGGAGCATGCTCAGCCTGTGGAAATGCTCCTGCCAGAGGAAAAGGACCCCACAGCCCTCCCCACCACCATGCGGCTCACACCCCAGGCTCAGACACCACCGCCCAACCCCTCAGGCGAGGTACCGCTGGGCAGCAGGCCCTCCACAGTCAGTTTCCATGATTCTTTCTTCCCACCTCTTCCCCCAAGTGAACATGAGGCCTCTTCAGTCTCCTGCATGTACCTGCTCTTTATAAATTCAGGCCTAGTCTCTCCTTTCTCCGACCAGCCTGGTCTCTCATGCCTCTGTTGCGCAGCTCAACCTGTTACCCACAGGGGCTCTGAACTGGGGGACTGTGCCAACAGAGGGCTACAGAAGGTTGGAATTCTGAGTCGGGGTGACAGGCCCCAGGGAGACACAGCCTTTTGGAAAATGGTGGTAAAAGGGTGTGTGATGGATCAGCTGGGAGAATAAATTTCCAGAGGAGTGTTCAGTTTCCATCAGGTTCTCCGCAAGAGTCTGTGGCCCATGGGAGGCCAGGCCGCACTGCGTTGGGTTGGTTAGATGGTTGCCAGGGAGGACTGGTGACATGGAGAGAGACACAGACACAGAGAGAGAGAGAGAGAGGCCTGCTCTAGCTTCTAAGGGTTAGAAAGATGCAGTGACTGGCCCAAGGTCACCCCCATGAGTTGGGTGTAAGTCCTAGACTCTCAGCATCAGGGACTCTAAGCGGTGAGCTTTTGAGGATAAAGACTGAGGCAGACACTGATCTGCGGCCCATGGCCCTGACTCTGCTCTGCAACAGGCCAGGGGTCAAGGCATGACTTGCATCCACCGGAGACGAGGCCTCCAGCTTGGGCTGGACCCTGTGACCGAGGCTCTGTTCTCTAGGTCTGGTTCCAGAACCGGAGGGCCAAGTGGAGGAAGAGGGAGCGTTTCGGGCAGATGCAGCAGGTTCGAACCCACTTCTCTACCGCCTATGAGCTGCCCCTCCTCACCCGAGCTGAGAACTATGCCCAGGTAAGTTCCCGCCAGAACGGCCTGCGCTGGCCCAGCCCCGGGCACCTCCTCTGGCGAAGGGAGCCATTGCTTTAAATGCCCTCAGGTCCCCTCCAGCTTGTGTGCCGCTTACACTGGAATGTGGGGGCCATTTCTGTCTGACCTGAGTGTTCCCGATGTGGCTGGGCTTTAGGGAAGGGTGGTTTGGGGCTTTTTCCTCTGCTGCTTTCACCACCTTTACAGGACCCAGGCAGGGGAAGGCCAGGGGTCCTGAGCCCTCAGGAGTTAGGTTTCCTCGGAAAGGAAGCCCTGCAGCCTGGAGGACTTGGAGATTGGTTGGCGTGGAGGTGGAGTTCTTTGTGCCGAGACCAGGCATTCATCCCAGTACCCGATCTTTCTCGAGTTAAGCAACTCAGGAGCTCTCTGCGCCTCGGTTTCCTCACTGGTAAATTGGACATGAGGAGAGAGCCTGCCTCGACTCTTTTGGGGTTGCTGAGGCCTAGATTAGAGCATGCAAACGCAGCCTGTGGATCTGCAGGCCGAAGTGCCCGCACTCGGCTCTCCCAGACATCCTGTCCCATCTTCTCCTGCCAGCTCCTCTGCCCCCATCTAGATGCCCGTCAGCCAGTTCCCCAACTAGGGCATTTGAGTCCTCAGGGAGATGCAAAGCGGCAAGAAGTAATGAGTCCCAACAGGGCCAGGGCACTTGGAGAGAGGTATGTTTGGCCGAGTCCAACCTGTCTTGCCAAGGTGGCTGTTTCTTGCCTCCCGGCCCTCCTCTGGCCTGGCCAGTCCAGCCCCGAGCCAGTGGCACAGGCCTTCCTGGGCTTCCTTTCCTTCTGTGCTAGCCCAGGGCTTTGCTAGCTCATGGTCCCCAGGCGCCCTACGAGGACAAACTCAGCCCTCCCTGGCCCAGGATTTATGTGGGAGAGTCAGGGGCAGGTCAGGGGGTGAAGGTGAGGAATATGGGGTGTTGCATACACACATACTGTCTCGTTCTATCCTCTTGCCCTCCGAGACCCAGGCAGACTCCCTATGTCCCCCTGGATGGGCTTCCATGCTGGATCCTTGGCCTCGGTCTCTGCCTGAGCTCCCAGCTGGAGGCAGAAACACAACACAGTGCTCATCCCGCTCATCTGCAGCACTGCACAGCACACGCCCACAGCCCTGAGAGGGGCTGGGGGGCCCCTGATTCCCATCCCCCAAACGGCTGTGAGGGGAGGAACACGGCAAGCAGATCTTGCTGCGACAATGCTTGCAGGGTCTGGGGGCAGTGTCCCACCCCGCTCAGCTTTTAAATGCCTCCCAGGTGCACTGCAAACACTGGGGTGGGGGCCAGCAGAGGCTGCTGAGGGTCCCCGAGAATCTGAGAGGCACACCATCTCCTCCTCAAAGCATACCCTGTCCCTCCACACCCCAGTTCTACCTCCCCATAAACACGTAAAGGACAGTTATGTCCCCAGGGGGATGCTGGGGAGAAACAAGTCTCCAGCTGCACAGATGGAAGATAAAACGTCCAGTCCAGCCCCCAGCCGCTGCCCAAGCAGCTCCACACCCTGAGCACTGGGCTCCGGCCTGGCTCCGTCCACCCCCATGAGGATCAGGCCTCCCGAGCAGCCCCTCCCACCCTGAGTTAATGCTCAAGTCCCAGACCTCAGTCCCTGGACCCGCAGCCACTGGCCTTGGTTCTGGGAGAATTTAGGGTCCCCTGCCCTCTCCATCCCTCCTCACCACAACCTGCAAGCCCAGAGCCCAGGTGCCCGATGCCAAAGCTCTCTGAATTGGAAGTAGGTCTGTTTATTGGGTACCTGGGAGTCGCTCGTTCTGGCAGGGCAGCTGGACGTGGGTGAGATGCAGGCCCTGGTGCGTCCAGGAAGAAGAGCTCAGCTGTGTTTAAGTGGCGACGTCAGCCTGGCTAGGGCGGGGCTGCCCTCAGCTGGTTCTGTGGACTCTTGATGAGGTTCAAGGGTCATTCCTTAAAATGGAGTTTCTGTCTGTGGCTGGCCTGGCTGGGGGGACAGTGCCCCCAAGCACAGAACCCAAATCCTCCTAGGGGTATCTGGATGTCAGTAAAGGTTTTAAGAGTCTTCCAAGTAAACACTCAAGAAAGGTTTTGTCCTGAAAACGGGCTGTAAGTGGGGGAAGGTCATTTAGGGGGTAGGGAAAAGCCCTCACATCTTACTCTGCCCCCCGCACCCCACCCAACTTTACTCCCCCTATCCCTGCAGTCCCCCTGTAGGGGCAGGAAGGGGCACTGAGCAGGTTTTCTATGATCCAGCAGACCGGCTAAAGGAGGAGAGAGTCCTGGAGCCCTCGGTGGCTTTTGCAGGCTTTTATTGGGATTTACCCGGTACACAGCAGGCAGGGGTGCTGGCAGGCCTCCCAGCCCCCAGCAAGTCTTCACCCTACCTGGGCTCTCCAGCCTTCTCTCGTGTTCTCTCTGCTTCTCTGCTCTCCGGCTTCCGTTCGTTCTTGGCTTCTGCTGGCGTCCCCGTGACGCCACCCCTATACACTCAGTCTCTCAGGCCAGGTGTACCCACTCCAGGTGCCCGCCATCAGGCATGCGTTCAGGCCCACAGGGTTCCCTCCTCTATCCTAATGGCAGGAGGGCAGAAAAGCCTGATACTTTTACCGTACCCCACACCTCCCCACCCCAACCCCGCCGCCCTGCTGGCCCGTGACTTGGCTCCCTTCCTTCCCCCCAGATTCAGAACCCATCCTGGATCGGCAACAACGGGGCTGCCTCGCCCGTGCCGGCCTGCGTGGTCCCCTGCGACCCGGTGCCCGCCTGCATGTCCCCTCACGCGCACCCCCCTGGCTCCGGGGCCAGCGGCGTCACCGACTTCCTGAGCGTCTCCGGGGCTGGCAGCCACGTGGGCCAGACGCACATGGGCAGCCTGTTCGGGGCGGCGGGGCTCAGCCCGGGCCTCAACGGCTACGAGCTCAACGGCGAGCCGGACCGCAAGACCTCGAGCATCGCGGCCCTCCGCATGAAGGCCAAGGAGCACAGCGCGGCCATCTCCTGGGCCACATGACAGGCCCCACTCCCGCCCCCACGCCCTCCCCCACCTCGGGGCACTGGGCACGCCCACGCTTTCCAGGCCCCCAGCCTCCCACTCGACTTTCCTCTTAGGAACCTGGCCCGGGCCGGGGGCCTGACCCTCAGCACTTTCAGCCCCCCCTTGTCTGAGGCCCCATGGACCGTGGGGAGGAGGGGGCGGCAGGCCCCAGCCCCTCCCTGGCACTGAGGCCGAGACCCCTGCTCCTGGCGGAAGGCGGAGGAGAAAGCCAGGTGGCCGAATTTTGCAGCTTTGCCTCCATTATAAGCTGAAGACCCTTTCTCCCCACTCCTGCTCCGCCACCCTGCCCGGGTGACCGCTGAGTCAAGGTTAGACTCCCCTCCAGACCTGGCAGGGGCAGCCGCGTAGCCGGCCCAACCTCTCCCCGGTGTGGGCCCCCGTCACCAGGCCCACCACTGCCTGAAGAACAGGCTGCCCGCAGAGCCGGCCTCCTGCCCTTCCAGCTCTGTTTCTTTTCCTAAAAACCCAGATTTTCCTAAAAAAAAATCTGATCTGGACCCAAAGCACTTGCCTTGCCCTCACCGGGAATGGTGAGGAGCCCAGTGGAACTGGCCACCCCGACCTGGCTGTCCCCTGTGCTGGCCACCCGGGAGGGGTGCACAGGAAAGAGCTGAAGAAGCTGCTGTGTCCAGCCGCGCTGGCTTCCAGGAGGGCGGACCGTCCGCGGGGACCGCGTTTCCACTCCCTCGCACCCCAGAGACTGTGGGACCGGGTGGCACTGCAGGGAGAGGACACAGACCCCCCACAGCATCCACGGTGCTCGAAGGAGAAAAAAGCTTCCAGAGAGAGGAAGGGCCTCGGGGCGGGGTCCAGGTCAGGGAGGGGCTGCGCACACATTTCCAGCCGCCTGGTACCCCACTTCAGGCAGGGTGCGGCTGGGGGGCAGGCCTGGGCAGCTTGTCCCCTATGCAGACAGGCCCGGTCCTGATCACCTGCTGGGGCTACTGAGCTGTTTCTTGGCACAGGGGGGATGGACACCTCACACACGCTGACTGGGGCCCTGGGTTGCTGTGGCAGAAGAGCGAGGGCAGCTCGGGGGATTGGCTAGAGGATGCGTGCTCCTCACAGGCCTCAGCCTGCTGTCCCCTCCTCGGCCACCTTGCCCAGCGCCTCACCAGCCTGGCGCCTCCCATGTGGGTGGGGACTCTGCCATTCCTCCCGGCACAGGGCAGCCCACCCCTTGTCTGGTCTCTAGAAGGGCTCATGAGCTGAGCCCTCCTGGGTCACTTGCTCAGCTCCAGATGTGGGGACACGTTTCCTCCCCAAGTCATGTTTTCCGGGCAAAGGGCCCGCCCTCTGCAGGGAGCCGTGTGTCCGCCTGACTTGAGAGGTGCAGCTTGGGCTTTGGCACCAGGTCCCAGGTGACACCTAAGCATGCAGCAACCCCCCGCAGCTGTCATCTAAGGCGGCCATTCAGGGTCCTGGGGTTGGGCGGTGTCCCTCCAGCCAGTAACCCCTGGGGGTAACTTCAGTAAGTCCTCACTAATGTCAGTGATAGGTTCTTGGAAATTTTGACTTTAAGTGAACTGGTGTTTGAGGGAAGAACATCTTTCGTTCAGCTTCAGCTGGGATATTTTTCCCCTCGAAATGGTGTTACTTGAGGATCTGCTGCACTCACCTCTGCCCTCTACCTAGTCCCTGATGGGGGGAAGCCAGGTCCAGCAGGCCCCGGGGGCCTGGACACAGGACCCCGGGGTGGGTGAAGAATAGATGCCCTGTCCTTGAGCTGCTCGAGGTTCTGGGGGATCCACAGTCTCTCCCTCTGCCTCACGTTCTCATCTGTTCCTGAAACCAGACGGGAGGAAGCTATGCCTTGGCCTCCCTTAGCGAGAGACCTCTGTGTGAACCGTAGCTCTGAACCTGGTCTCATAGATGTGAAAGGGGTTTTGGACATTGAATTAAATTTTCTCGAAGGCTTGGCTTGAAGCATTCATGTATTTGAGGATCTTGGAAAAGAGTCTTAGGAAGCCTTTTTGAGTTCTGAGGTTCACTGAAATTGCTCAGATTCCCCATAATCTGGAACAGGAAAGGAAGCAAGAGCTCAAGTCTGTTTCGCCAGGTGCTTCTTACACGTTCCAGTGGCTGGAAGGACACGACTGGCGCTTTTGCCATCAGTTTGTCGTCACCCGGGAGAGTCCGTACAGAGACCCAGAGGAGGAGGCAAGGGAGGCAGGGGGCTCCAAGGGGATTCTTCTAGAAGGAACCCCTGGTGCTCAATCCCTCTGTATGTCTGCTTTCCGACCAGGCTAGACCAAAGTCAGGCAAATTTTAACCAAAAAGCTTGAGAAGAAAAAGCCTCCAATGAAGGCTCTGTGGCTCCCTGTCCCAACACAGCCAAGCATTTGAGATTGAAATGTGGGTGTAAACCATCTCTACCAGCCCCCCTAGGGCCTGCCTGACACTTCAGAGCCTCCAAGCTGGGGAGGAGCTTAGAAACCCTCTATTTAGTCCAGACCCTTCACCTTGAAGGCGAGAAGGCCCAGGGTGAGCCCTGAGCCCTGTTTAACCTGCCGCAAAGCTGTGAGAGGAGCTGACATGTCACCATCGGGGCCCCAGACTGCTCCCCAGCGCCTCACACCCCAGTCAGTGACCCAGCTCTCCAATTGGCCTCCCTGGTTCTTTCCCAGGCCTCTGCCTGCTAGGGTGGGAGGCGCCCCGCAGACCAATGGCCAGGACTGAGCAAGTTTGGGCGGCTTTGCCCTGCTGGCCGCCTCCTGCGGAGCCAGGGCTCCTGCGGCCAGCCAGAGGGGCTCTACCTGCTCTCTGGGCCGCTGCAATGAATAAGCTACAAGAGGAGAGGGTTTCCTTTGGCCGTTTGCCTGAGATCTCTGCAGAGCTGCCGTGTAGAAGGGACGTGGGGGGCAGCTGGCGGGTCACTGAGCAGCCTCCCCGACCGGATAGCCTCTGGCCCCTGCTGGGAACAGGTTTCGAAGGAAGCTGAGGCTTGACACTAAGGTGCTGCTACACCCTCAGGTGCCATCACTGCTCCCGGGGCTTGGGAGAGGAAGGCGCTGGGGGACACCCAGAGAGGCTTGCCCCCCCCACCCCCGGCTTCAGTGGCACTCGGAGGACACAGGTTTTGAAACTTTCCTTGAATCCTTTCAACTATACTTGATGTTCAGCTCTCACGGCCGCGCCTCCAGCTTGGGAACGCACAGTGGCCGGGTTAGTTCCGAAACACTGCGAGGGGGAGGGAAGCAGTTGTGATGCGGTGGGTCCCCAGCACACACCGCTGCGGCCGTTCCAGGGCCAGCTACAGTGCCCCGCCTGCCCGCTCTTGGGCCGGGTGGACAAGAGGAGCTTGCCCAGGGACACGACCCGTTACCTGCGTGCACAGCCATGCTCTCTCTGGGCTAGACTGTGGGGAGATCACCTTGCAGACATCCCGGGCTTCTGCTGGATGGCCTGGCTGTCGGGCACCAGGGCACACAGGCCTAGCTGGGGGAGGATGGTTGGCCGACGGGCCCCCCAGGAGAATCCACGACTGCCAAAGAGAAATGAGAAGACAACAGCTCGAATTCTCAAGGTCGCACGGACCCCACTTCACTTCGCTAAGGATGCTGTAGGGAGGAAGGTATCCGGGAAATCATTACCTATCACGCCCTCTCCCGCCCGCCCCCGTCACTTACATACATAGAGCTAGGCCTTTATACTACTGATTTTGAAGGACAGTTTTCAATGTCTAATAATCTGTTTGGGTGTGCGGTGGTTGACTAAGAGAGCCGAGTGACAGAAGGGACATGAACCTCAACCAGTACTGACTGTTCTCATTGTAAGATAGTTTAACCCTGTATAGACGCAACTTTTTCCTTTAGCTTAATGGCCTGGGGTGGAATATTAAAAATATATATTAAAAATACATTAAAAATTCAGAAAAACGTGTAAAAAAAAAAATGAGGTCGGTTCCATAAAGTTTTACTGCCTATCCCACCATGTAACTACATTATAGCAAAATATTAAAAGAAAGGTTCTTGTCTTTTAAAGTAAGTTATTGCACTTACATCTTTTTTGGGGGGGTGGAGGGAGCGACACTGACGAGAAGGGGACTTCGGGGCCTAGGCACGGGGCCCAACGGAGAGCGGAAGCAGCTGGACTCTCCCAGAACACCCTCGGCTGGGCACAGCCCAAAATGTCTGTTTGGTTGTTGTTTGCAATAAACTCCTTCTCCTGCCTCCTCTCAACTGGAACCTGTCTGTTTCGTTCCTGACTGGTGACAGATGAAATGTGATCAGAGGGGCCTCTGAAATCTCACGTTAATTGAAGTCGGCAAAAAATACTAACAGTGCCCTTTTGAACTGCTGACACAGTGCAGAATGGATTACCAGGGCTAGATTAACAACAGGTGGCCGGCCAGGGCTCCTGCACAAAGAGGGGGTGCGTGGCCAAGGGTCTGGGATACCCCCCTTCATCCCAGAGGACCTGTCTCTGCACAGTGAGCGAGCTGGGGAAGAGGGAGGGAGGGAGCAAGGGGTAGAGCAGAGTCCACTTTTCAGGCAGCAAAAAGGATCACAGCCCCAGCTACTTCGTGCCACCTCCCCCCAGTTATATGGGGTGCACTCAGCACAGCCTTCAGGTCTGCACAGCAGCTGGCCAGCCCCTGGATGCCCCAGGGTCACAGTGCCGGTCTGTGTCCGGGGCTGCGCTGAAAGCTGAGGGAGACCCGGAGAGGGAAGTGCAGGGCATGGAGCACAGGTGGGGTGTTCAGGAGGGGCAGTTCCCAGGGCTGACTCCCCACCCTAGTTGCAAGAGAACTGGCAGGAGGTGCAGACAGATGAGTTTTAAAGCAAAGTTCTAAGAACAAACTGAAGCAAGGAAGTGCCAGGTTCTGCAAGAGAGTAAGTGCCATCTTGCTTCCCAACACGAAGGTGGCTCTGGGTTGACTTACCTCCAGGGACCCCTTTGTGGGGAGAGTTGTTGCTGACCCCCAGACCCCTCGCTCTGCAGGAAGGGATTAAGTCCACCCACTGTAAGTCCAATGGCAAACTCTTGTTCACCCTCATTGCAACGATTCAAACATTGCTTCCTTGAAGCCACAGCTCAGCTTGGTTCTCGTGGGGACTAAGTTCACATTCTGCAGAGACCCAGCTGGGTTTCAGGTTGGCCTGGGCCTGGAGTTTGCTTTAAAAAAAGACACTAGTCATCCTTTCTGGGCTCAGGGTTGTGGGAGCACTTGGGCTACCCGCCCCCCACCCCCCACCCCAAATCACAACCTAGCAGCCAAAGCAGAGAGGGGCGTGACTTGTCTGCTCGATCCCAGGCTTCTGTCTGTGGAGCAGAGCAACCTCAATATCCTGGCTCTAGACAAGGGTGACTTCAAAGGGAGGTGGCGTGAGAGGCTCATTCAGGCCAACCCACCCTTGACTAGTACTTGCAATAGTCTCCAGAAGGACATGACTTGTCCTTCCCTGTCCTGCTGCCCAGGACCGTTCATTGCTCCCCAAACCATCTGGGGCCTTTCCCTCGGCCACGTGGCTGGACTTGCCACCTGCCCTGCTTGGAATGCCCACGTCCTGCGCCCGAGAGCTCCAATGACACGTCTTCAGGGAGGCTTCTTGTTGTCATGTCCCCACAACCTTCCGCCCCTAGGTCAACTGCTGCCCCTTCATGTTTCTCACCTGGTTACCAGCCCCCGCCCTGTCCCCCACGAGCTTGAAGGGCTCCAAGAGGAGACAGACTGGCGTGTGGGTCCAAGCCCTTCAGAAGACAGGAACGTGGAGTAACAGTGAATGAGCATGGAGGTGGGGATGGGAAAACGCTTTTTTTTGGTTTGGGAAGGGAGGAGGGACAGGCCATTCGTGCTAGAGAAAGGGGGAGCTGCCCCGGGCCAGCCCAGAGGGCACTCCGAGCCTGCTCTCTGCTGGCAGTCACCTCCATGACCTGAAGTGATGGGCCCGGTCAGGCCGGGGAGCTGACCTCTTGGTGTAGTGTTCTTGGGTGAGGCCAGCACAAGGCCCACGCCCTAAGATGGCCTCAGGGGTCCCAGGGCTCAAACTCGACTTCCTGCAGTCAGCCCTGGATAACCCCTCATGCCCACCCTGCTGCGGGCAGTGGGCGGCAGCTCCTTTCCTGCTTTGGTGCCCCCCCCGGCAAAACTGCTCTTGCCGTCAAACCTCAGGGCACCGGGAACCGGCTGGTGGGTTTGGAGGGAGCGGGGTGGTTCCTCCTCACACAGGCTCTCACTTGCATGCTCAGCAGCCAGGGAACAATAGGCCCCTCCACAAAGCCGGGTCCCCAAAATAGGCTGTGTGCTCAGAAGTGAGCCGGGGCCTGCCAGCGCCAGAGACAATGGGGTGTGAGAGTTGACATTTTCCCAGGAATTATGTGATTCCAAACAGATTTTTTTTTTTTTTTAGCTCAACACAGACCAACAGGCTTGAGGAAAGGCGCACTTCCGAAAGGAGCCCAGTGTGCCCCATGTGCGCACCATGTGTTAAGGTGCTGCCAGGACGTGGGTCTCCCGGAGCCCTGGCGGGCGTGGCGCCGACGTGCAGAGGCGGCAGTCTCCTGGCTCTGCCTCCTGGGCCTTCTCTCCAGCTTGTGCCACAAGCCCCCTCCCCGTAATGGGTCTCCATCATTCCCGGGCTCTGCGGGAAGGGCAGAAGAGCTCCCTGTTGCTCTGAGAGGAAGGCCGAGCCGCCCCATGGAGAAAGTGAAACAATAACTGCGTGTGCGCCGGGATGACAAGGGAGGGAGATAAGAGCAAAGGGTGAAACATGAAGGCCCCCCGTGTCTCCTCCCGGGGACAGGTTTGGACAGAAACCTCTTGTTAAAACGAGAGCTTGGCGCAGCACTGGCCAGGGCGCCATGTGGGGAGGTGGCAGACAAGAGACTCGGGTTTAAGTACTGACTTTGCAATTTATTAGCTGGGTTATCTTAGGCCAGCCACTAAGACTCTTTGATCTTTCCATTCTTTATCTGTAAAATGGGGATAAGCAACTATTTCCTGCCTGTCTCACGAGGTGGTTATGAACCCAAGAGTTAGGATATTTGTAAAGAGATGAGAGCTGTACAGGCGGAAGAACCGTGCATTCTGGTTGTTGGGAAGGGTTGGGCTGGGGGAGAGGATTTCCAGGGAGACTAAGGGCAAGGGTGCCTTAAAGCTAGGGCTCTGTTTCCCAAAGCCGGTCACCATGCCCCTGGGCACCGGGGAGCCCTGGGTGGTGCTATTTCTGAGATGGGCACATTCCAAAGGGTTTTACTAAGTTCCAGCAAATTCCCACGTAGGCCCAGCAAACCACTGGGTCGCTGTCACTTTCTAGCTAGGTGACTGCTGAGAGGCTATATCTGGTTCCTGGTCCCTCCCTGCTCCACTCCATCAACGCTGATGCCAAAGGCCATCTCAGACCACAGCCCTCACCAGAACAATCATCTGGAAAGACTTCACATTGCCAACAGACAGAAATGTCGGGTTTTAGCCCTAAACTCCTATTCAATCGCATCTTTTCCAATTCTCCAGCCTGTGCTAAGAGCTCCTGCAACTCTTGGAGACACCTTATGCCTTCCCATCCTCTTGTTTCCTTTCACTACCTCAGGTCAAAGTGCCTACCCCAACCTCCCGATGCACCCCTATCCATCTGAATGCCCACCTCCACCTAGTCATTCCCCAGGCCACCTCGGGCTCCCCAGGCCACCTGTGGGCTCCTCCTTAGCCCACAGACAGGCCCTTAAGTGGCTTTTCTTTGCATTAATTTGATTGCAAGCTCCTTGAGGCTGAAAGTGTCTTCGCCTCTTTACCACAGCTCCTGGCACAGTATCTCTCACACGGTGGGTATTTTATAAATGTCAGCGGGACAATTGGCAAGTCTGGATCCCACATTCAGAACACAGCAGGGAACACTTAATTGAGGTGACGCAACTGGAGGCAGCAGCCTAGATCCCAAGGTGCCGAGCAAACATCCAGGTTCAGGCCCCCACCCCTGACAACTGTGAAAGATGAGTTTTTAACCACTACACCAATCCCTTTAATAGACGTATAATTACACAGCATTAAATGCCCCAATTTTAAGTGGAGAGATGGATGGGTTTGGACAAATATATTATGTACATGTTGTAACCATCACAATATTTGCCAGTAGAACTATGTAGACTTGGGTATTTCTTTGCAGAAGGTTTTAAAGTATGAATTTGACTGATGTAACAGCTGCAGGGCTATTCAGATTTTTCTATATCTTCTTGAGGGAGTTCTGTCAATTTGTCTCTCAAGGACTGTGTCCATTTCATCTGTTGTAGAATTTGCCCAGTCTGCCGTATTTCACTTAATGGCATCACACATTTGTGTAAGACAAAAACCTAGGAGTTAACTATGAATCCTCTATTGTTCCCAACTTTTATATTCATCAGAAAAATCCAATAGACTCTATTTGCAATATAACTTCTTGTCACCTCTGCTGATACCGTTTTAGTCAAACTACATCACTACCATCTCTCACCTGGCTCCCCAGGGCAGTCTTTTGATTTCCTTTTCTTTCCAGGCTTGCTGCCTACAGCCTATCTTCCACCAGGTCGGCATAATGATCTTTTCTTAAAACATTATTCAGATGTCACGCCTCTGCTTAAAACCTTCCAGTGTCTTCCTGTCATACGATAAAAATCTAGAATCCTTGTAGGCAACATGATCCTAACACAATTTGGTCCTGATTTACTTTTCTGGCATCATCTCTATCATGCTCTCCAGTACACAGGAGTAGTTCAATACGCTGCAGTAACACAGAAGTTCTTGCTTAGCCTGTCCTCGCCTGAAGGCCTTTATGTTAGCTCTTCTCCCCACATTAAATTTTTTTAAATTTTATTTATTTTGCACATACTAAGAACTGGGATGTAGACCGGAGGTGAGAGGATTCACCAGAGACAGAGTGGGGAGCAGAACAGGCGGATCTACTGAAATACACTGCTGAGGGGAGCAGCGGGCGAGACAGGAGAGGGCTGCTGCGCCATGTGGCTTAGTTCCCTGGCCGGGGATTGAACTCAGGCCTTAGCGGTGACAAAGCTGAGACTTAACCTTTAGGCCACCAGGAAGTCCCCATTAAATCTGTTTGAATATCACTAAACTGGCCTATCTAAGATACCTCCTTATCATTCGCAATTTCCCCTTGCTCTGATTCATTTTCTTCATAGCATTTATTACTATTTGAAACAGTATTCACTTCATGAATTAAGGGAAATAAATAACTCACTAT